AGATCACACTATTAATAAGTAGGTCATTTATGATTTGAAACCATGACCTACAGTCATGACCATCGTGTATACAGTCCCTCCCTTTTGTATGTCCAAGAGCACAGATTAAGTTATTACTTCCGTTCCTGGCCAGTGTTGATGCAAAGACATACCCTTTTTGAAAGCTAATTGCACCTCTGAGAGTTTAGTTTAAGCAAAATTGTCCAAAAGCAGAGTAGCTGAGGAAACCACAGGCAGAAAAGATATTGACTGCATCATTATTTACACTATTTCCAACATTTTTAAAAAACCCTGAATGTTCAATAATAAGCAGGAGTTATAAATTATATTTATGCATTTCCATTCAGTATGTTGTGTGGCTCTGAACATTATTAGTTTTGAAGACTCTATAGCAACATGGAAAATATTTATGCTATTAGATGAAAAAAACCATGTTATAAAATTGTTGACCATGATTAGAGCAATGTAGAGAGCGTCCAGAACAAAAATGGTGGAAAACCTCCGTGGATGTGGATGTGGGAGGGAGGAAAGAGATTTTATTTTGGTGTCTCCTTTAATATTGTCACCTTACTTTAATAACATACACATACATTTTTAAAATAAATTCTGAAGGCAAATGTTTCTCCATTTCTTAAAACTCCACCCTTTGGCACATTTGTACAAGCAAAAGAAAGTGAGAGATACTTTTGCTTTGCTAAGCTTATTCCTCTGAGAGCTAGAACAGTGGGCAAATAGTGGATAAATGAGCGTAGCTGTAAGAGAAGAACATATCCTATAGGAATTATTGTTAAGCTTGGGGCTGACTCACCACAGGTGTGCAAGTGACCAATTTCCTATATGCTTCCTTGAAGCAAATGTTTTTGGATGGACAGAAAAAAACTCACCACATTTGCTATCAAGACCATTTTCTCTGGGTTGCCAGCGTGAATGCAAAGGTGCAGCCAAAGCCACACAGCCAGAAGTGAAGGGGCCCAGCCAGCCCCAAGCATCTTCAGTGGTAGTCACTTCTCCAAACATTGCATCCTCAGGGTTTGCAAGCTGTCAGAAGACACGTCCTATGTCTATCCCGTTTGTTCCTATCGAGTGGCTAGCACCAAATATTTGCTCTAAAATATTGGTTAAATGTATGAACGATGGGACCAGCGTCTGTGCCTTCCCAAGAACAGAGGGTGTCTATCTTTCCTACTGTTTCCAAAGGAGCACTTTTCCAGTTCCCAACACATTTTCTAGACTCCTGGTGGGTCCTACATTATGGGGCTGTGTGACTAGCCCATACAGCAAGGCTGACAGCGATGTTTGCTACCTCCTGGATGAGACATTTAAGCTGGTGGAGCACTCCAGGCTCTCAGCAATGCTCCCCCTCCCCACCCAGGTTTAGGCAGCCTTCTCAGATTGAGAAGCATGGTGGGAGGCACCATGTAGACTCTCACTGTTCATTTATGTCAGAACCTAAACTCTACTGTGCTGAGCCAGACATTTCAGGATTAGTCTTGTTACTTGACTAATATATCAATAAATTCCATTTCTCCTACACAAAACAAAGCATAGATTAGACGTGAACTCAATGGAATCATTGCTCATAAAACATTTGATGGAGACCATGAGAGAACAACCATGGTTTGGAGAAGTCCATTAAGTTACTTTCTCTCTTTATGAGAACACAGGAGAAATTCTCAGCTTGCAGTTCTAGAAAAGGCTGAGTGTCTTTTGTGTATTTGACAATAAAATGTTACTAAGAATGCAATTCTTACTGATTTATTTATTTTGACCTGGCCCATCAGGTAAGCTCAGAGGCAAACGTGGATACAAGTGGCCTCACGGAACACATTTTTGTCAACTCTCAACTATTATCACCTTGGTACTCAATGCTCATTTTCCCTTTGGCTCTCCATTTGTCTAATTCTGATTCCTCTAATCGTGCCTACACACTCTTTTCTATCTCCTAGCAACATTCCTTTGGTGAAGGGAATGAAGAGGATGAGAACCAAGCTTTTAGAATAAACTCCAAATTATCCAGGAAACCATTCTCCCAATCCTGGAAGAGGCTGACAGTGTAAGTTCTGAATTTAACCATTAATGCTGATGATTTTAATTTAGTTTTCTTCTAGGTTTCATGATGATTAATTTTTCCTTTGATTTATAACAAGATAGCTTAGAGACTCTGTGAAGGGTGATAATTATTGGTGCAGGGTGTGCAGTAAGATGGTTGGTGGCCTAGGCCTTCATGAAGCAAGTGTGACAAAACCTCTCCAGTGCTTGGGACCTACAGTTTGTTTGAAAGGACTCTGCTCGGCTTGGCGCCTATAGCTCAACGGGCTAAGGCGCCAGCCACGTACACCTAAGGTGGCGGGTTCGAATCCCCAGCCCAGACCCGCCAAACAACGACGGCTGCAACCAAAAAATAGCCAGGCGTTGTGGCGGGCACCTGTGGTCCCAGCTACTTGGGAGGCGGACGCAGGAGACTCGCTTGAGCCCAGGAGTTGGAGGTTGCTGTGAGCTGTAATGCCACGGCACTCTACCCAGGGGGACAGCTTGAGGCTCTGTCTCAAAAAAAAAAAAAAAAAAAAAAAAAAGAAAGGACTCTGCTCATGGATTAGGGTCCCCAGCTTAGTCACTGGTACTTCCTCCTTCTGAAGCTTTATACATCTCTTTACTTCGTATTTCCAATTAAAAACATTCCCTCCATAAAATTCCCCCCAGTTGGTGATGAATGCCTGATGCAGAGATATTAACATGTAAAAATCCCATCTCACACCTCACCTTAATTTCACCCTTGCTTGCCATACCTGTGTTAATTCAATGACTTGAAATATCTCCTGTGCACATGACTTGCAAGGCAGGGCTAAATTATTTCTTTCATATCTGTAGTTTTATCTGTAAATGATTTACAACAAATGCACATAGACACATGTGAAAAAAATTCTTTATTAATTTCTCACATTTCATTACAAAATGTATGTTGCAAACAACTTGAATAACCTACTTGTGGTTTTTTTTTGTTTGTTTTTTTTTTTTATTTTTAAACCCTTGGCTTCAAGGACTCAGGATCTCCCTATCTTTTATCAAGTATCAGGAAACACTGATTATTGGAGTCAATAGGTTATCATTTTGCTATTTATTTTCTTCTCTCAAGCTCTGAAAAAAAAATGTCCTCTGTATAAATTAAACAACAACAAAAAATGTTGTAAATTCTATGTCATTACAGTCAACAGAATTATAATAATGCATCCAAAATGTGCGGCCACAAAATATCAGGTATATGTTTGAAAAAGAAAAAAAAATGACATTCTAGCCTTGTTAAAAGGATAATGGTCCCATATTTTTATTAACAGGTTAGCAAAACAAAATCCAATGGATTACAATATTTACATGTTATTTGAAAAATAAAGTAGTGATAAAAGCATGTCACAATTATTTTCTTTCTTTTTTTTCCTTTTTCTTTCTTTTTTTTTTTCCTTTTTTTTTTTTTTGTTTGTTTGTTTTTTGGTAACCATTACAAACACCCAATCCAGGTATGGAACTGTTTAATACAATTGAAATGAGGCCAATTAAAAACAAATAGAGACACAAAATGAATCTTTGTCTGGATAGTTCACGCTTTCTCCCCATTTTCTGGTTTCCACGTGATGGCCCCCATCCCTGGAAAAAAATTAAATTAAAACAAACATCCTACAAATAAAAATTCTTAACAGTAAGAAAATAAAAGAAGAACATGCTTTTCAAGTAAGCACTTATTCCACAAATGCAACATCTTTCCATGGATTTTATTTGAAGCTGTGTGGGACACTGTCATCTCAGCAATTCCCCTTCCCTTTCTTCCCTCCCCCCTCCCACAACCCTTCCAAGTAAAAAAACCAAAACATGAAAACCAAAGGACTCACACGTGCACACCTGCACGCTCACAGACACGCACACACATCCAAGCACTCACACACACAGGCTTCTAAAACCTAGGTTTTAAGAAAAATTCGTTTCTACTTTTTGGAACGAAACCATTTGTTCACAATCAGAACATATTATAAATGTAAGCTTAGATTTAGTCTAAGCTGCTCCCTCCTGAAAAAGCTGATATGGGGGACAGAGCAGCTGGCAGCTAGATTTAAAAAAAAAAAAAAAAAAA